TACTAACCACAAGGCTGGCGGTTCAAACCCACCAGCCACTCCTTGGAAGGAAGATGGGGCAATCTACTTCCATAGTGATACTGCCTCGGAAACCCAAGCAGGGATCTCTATGAGTCAGGTCTGACTCGATGGCACATAACAACAACAACTATGTCCTCCAAGTTCATCCATATTATGCGGTGTTTTGCAGACTCTACATTATTCTTTAGAGTTGCATAGCATTCCAGTATGTGTATGTACCATAATTTGGTCATCCACTCTTCCGCTGATGGGCATGTAGGTTGTTTCCATCTTTTTGCTATTGTAAATAGTGCTGTGATGAACATGAGTGTGCATATACCTGTTCCTATCCTAGCTCTCACCTTTCTAGGATATATACCTAGTAGTGGGATTGCTGAGTCAAATGGTATCTCCAATTCCAACTTTCTGAGAAATCACCATATTGCTTTTCACAGTGTGTCACTTCACAGTCACACAAGCAGTGTATGAGAGTCCCAATCTCTCCATATCCCCACCAGCATTTGTTATTTTCTGTCTCATTGAACCTTGCCATCAGTGCTGGTGTGAGACGGTATTTCTCATTGTTATTTTGATTTACATCTCTCTGATGGCCAATGATTGTGAGCATCTTTTCATGAATTAGCTGACCACTTGAATATCCTCCTTGGTGAACTGTCTATTCATGTCTTCTGCCCATTTTTCAATTGGATTGCTAATTCCTTTGGTGTTGCGGCATTAGTGTTTTCCATCAATCTTAGAGATAAGTCCCTTGCCAGATATGCAATTATCAGCAAATATAAATTTGTTGCTGTCATTTTTGTCATGTGCTTTTTCTTGTATCGATTTCTTTGTTCCATATAATTTTCTTTGCTGAGCTCCTTTTGTTTATGAATCATGTTGTCACTTCTTCATTTCTGTTGTTTTAGTATTTGCTAAATATTTATGCTGGTCCTCTTTCTTTATTTTGATGTGAAGGTTTATCATTTTTCTTTGAGGTTACCCTGTGATTTATAGTTTTCTTCCCAAGTTTAGAGTAGTCCATTCTATCTTGTAGTTGTCTTGACTTCCCTACCATCTAGAAGTTCTGTAACAACACAGATTTTTTTTCCCTCTTTTTGGTTTGTAGTTGTCCTCATTT